GTACCCGACCCCCTATTAAGTCACAAGAGTAGGGAACAAAATGTCTGATTGGTAATTATTTTACCGCAGCCCCGGCTAAAACTATGTAGATACATGTATCAAACAATCAGATCATACGTTCACTGAAGTTAACTGAAGCTTTATCTTTACTCAAACATTTACAAGTCAAAAGGAATGTGTGCATCGTCAGAAAGAAATGTGGACATTAGCGACTTATAGTGTAACCACTGAGCTACAAACGTTTTTGTCATTAAACAATATATCACGTGACTAACCACGGGTCCGGGTAGTCCAGTGGGTACCGGGTCCTATTCAGGACCCACCCGACCCGAGTACCCGAGTTACCCGTCCCAGCCCTAATGTCCAGGTTATACCCAATTTTGAAATAATTGATGGTTACCCTGGACGATGGTGTATCCGAGTTGACGAAGTGTTTGCTGGTCAAACCGAAAGCCTGGGTTCGTTTCCCAACATGAGTATAATGTGTGAACACCTTTTTTATATTGTACGTATGCCCGAGGTGAGACATGAATAAACTGTCTGTCTGTCTGTCTGTCTGTCTGGCCTTGGCGGAATTCCCTTCTCTACCTTGATGACAAAACAGTTTCGCGAAAAACGTATGTCGCCAGCGGGATTCGACCCCGTGAAAATTTATGAACTAACAACTTCAACGATTAGGCACCAGGTGCTCCAACCTAGATACCCACTCATGCGTTGATATCTATGGAATACTGTAAGGGACATTCTCGCGATCTTGGCCTTTGGAAACGAGCTAAATACTGTAAATCTTGAAATTAACGCGAGCGCGAATTAAATGCGAAAATGCGCATTAATTTCCAGATTTACAGTATGCCAAAAACACGAGAATGCGAGATTGTGGCCAAATCTCGCATTCTCGTGTTTTGGCCACATCTCGAGATCTCGCATTCTCGTGTGTTTTGGCATATTGTGGCACGTTTTCCAAAGGTCGTGTTCGCTAGAATGCCCCTTACAGTATTCCATAGATACAATTGCTGTTTGTTATGACCACGACATTCACAGACACGGCCTTGGTGGTGTAGATGACCTCAGAAGTGTTGTTCCACAATGGTGTAATTAGTACTCACAGCTGACATACAACAAATTAACAAAATTCCATGAAGTATATTTAGTTGTTAAACAGCAAATAGTTTTTTTAAAGAACCTTGTTAATTAGTTTAATTTCGAACGCTGGTGAAGGGTAATCATATCTAGTGCTCATTCCAAGAGCTGCAATAAAAGTCACTCAGTCTCCATAACATCAAGATAGACACAATTTTATGGATAACAACTTCTTTAATACTGTGAAAAGCGATGTTTCGGTATAGATCCTTATACCGTTGTCAAGCAAGACTGATGCCCATAACATCATTTCTTCAGTGCTGGCAACCGCTACACTAGACGAACGCTTAGTCTTTGAAAGTATATTATTGGAAAGAAACAAAAAACTCCATTTAAACTGAAAAGGGCCCCCAGTGAGATGGGACATTCAGAACCTGAACCTGAGGAATATCTAGAATTGCATCATTTAGGGTTTTGGCATTACATTTAGGGTTGGGCGGAAGGGGAGACAATTCAGGGACTGTGAGTCAGACTCGAGCGACACAGTGGCAGTAGTAAGCATTTGGATCTGATTTTGTTTGTTTAGTTGTTGTTTAACGCTGCACTCAGCAATATTCCACCTCTATGACGGCGGTCTGTAAGTAATCGAGTCTGGACCAGACAATCCAGTGATTGACATCATGAGCATCGATCCACGCAATTGGGATACGATGACATGCATCAACAAAGTCAGCGAGCCTGACCACCCGATCCCGTTAGTCGCCTCTTACGACAAGCACAGTCGCCTTTTACGGCAAGGTTGCTGAAGACCTATTCTTCCCCGGATCTTCACGGGTCGGATCTGATTTTAATTAGATTCTGCGTCACAGGTTGTTTATTCCACATACCTCCTGACTAGTAATTATAACACTGGTGGCGTCTGCAGAAAGGAATTACCGTGTCTTTGTTGGGATCACGTGTTACATGTCTTCCAATCCATGGGCATCGTTCGATGACGTCGATGTGAATAATATGAATAATTTCCTGGACTAATTCGCCACCATAGCTTCGTCATGTACCGGATCCGAATGACACCAGGCGGAATATACCCTGATAACATGTCGCTCATTAAGAGACATTCTGTTCCTGAAAATAGGGTATGAGATGGTGACTTCATTTCACAATAAAGCAATGGTGCGAATGAGTCCCGACAGTTAAAAATATATGATTTTATTATACAATTGATAAACGAGTTTGACCCATCAGAGGATTGCATTCTTATGAGTACCCATGATGTTGTGTCTAGCTCATCGCTAAGATAACCATCATCATATAAGCTGCGAATAGCTGAAGATATTGCGGCGCAAAACAATATTCACTCGCTTAAGTTTCCATTGACCGAGAATGTGAGTGAGTGAGCGAGTGAGTGTGTATGGTTTTACGCCGCTTTTCGCAATATTCCAGCAATATCACGGCGGGGGACACCAGAAATGGGCTTCACACATCGTACCCATGTCGGGAATCGAACCCGGGTCTTTGGCGTGCCGAGCGAACGCTTTAACCACTAGGCTGCCCGACCGCCCCTGACCGAGGATGTAGTGGTCGACGCAGGTTCGATGACATCAACCCATTATGTGAATTTTGTTGCACATTTGTCTTAGTTTGTCAACCACTTGGGGATTCTGGGAGTCACTGGTCCCCAAGGTTATCGCAAGCGTCGACTATAACGGGGTTCGGATCGTTGCCATCGTTGTCGCACTCCAAGAGGGACGGTGCGGTGGTTGAGGGGTTAAAGCATCCGTTCGTCACGCCGAAGACCCGGGTTTGGTTAAACCAGTCTGTTGGGGACACTATAGCTTTCATTGGTGTATTTAAAACGTGTCTTTTAGATGAATTTCGTCAAAACTGGATGTCAACACTCAACAATAGTACCCGATATGTGATGTATAAAGAATATAAACACTGTTTGAACCTAAAAGATATTTGAGTATTTACAATAGTAAACATGTACGCAGTGTTTTTTATTAAATTAAGATTTAATGTTTTACCTTCACGAAATAACGAGGGGAGATGGCAATCGATTGAATCATGTTTACGTATATGTCCTGTTTGCAATATGTCTGTTGAAGATTAATATCATTTCGAATTGATCTGTAAACATTATATTGAACAACGTTAAGTTTATTTGCCATATATATATAAATTCAAAAGTTTGTTGTGTACAACTCAATATGATGTATTAAAACGTCTGCAATATTATGTATATTATGCATACAAAGAAAGACATGACGTCGTAAAAGCCATGTAATGTGTTTCATATTTACTATTGGCGTTGCATTTCTTGTATATGGGCCAAAGGCCTACATACAAATAAACTAATTTTGACTTTTTTGATTCCCCACATGGATGTAATATGTGGTAATATTGCTAAAAACGGCGTAACACTAAACTCACTCTCTCCGATGACGTCATGACGTAGTCATGGTTAATAAACCACAGAAGAACACACAGTAGTGATGAGGGAGATGAGGACTCGGACCTGGGGCAGCCATTGTCTTCAATCGTCCTCCTCCTCAGCCACTAAGATGTCTCACAAGGATAAATTAACGTTCAGGTGAAAGTACTGAGGTGTGGAATTTGATGGTCACTGCCATGTCCGTGTTTCCTGCTCGCCAAAATAAGTGAGTGAGTTGAGTTTTATACTGCTTTCAACAGAATCTCAGTTTTATCAAAACGTGTGAGCTTGATGTGGGAGGAAAACTCGAAGTGATGCAGGTCTTAGACATATACCATATTTGCGAATCCCTCGAGCACGGGTGTGGTGGTACTCACTTGCAAACACAATTAGGGCCATATGTTTCTGGCACACCCAAGGGACGCAACTCTGACCAGCGCCCAAGACGCCTCATTAAAATCAGATCTTAGTTCTCGCTATCGCTTTGTTTTGCGGAAGCGAGAACTTAGATTCTGATTTTAATGAGCTTGAGACACCTTGAACGACTGGGCCAACCTTGACCTCTGATGGCACAAGCCGCCAGGGATTTCACCTTGTGCAAGAGGCGACTACATGGGTGGTCAGGCTCGGTGTTTTGGTTGATTGCCTTGACCATGTCGGGCGTTGCTCTTGATATGATCCACTGGTTTGGTCCGACTCGGTGGTTTGGTTTATTGCCTCCACTATGTGGGACGTTGCTCATGATATCATCCACTGGTTTGGTCCGACTCGGTGGTTTGGTTTATTGCCTCTACTATGTGGGACGTTGCTCATGATATCATCCACTGGATTGGCCCGACTCGGTGGTTTGGTTTATTGCCTCCACTATGTGGGACGTTGCTCATGATATCATCCACTGGATTGGTCCGACTCGGTGGTTTGGTTTATTGCCGCCACTATGTGGGACGTTGCTTATGATATCATCCACTGGTGGGTTTTACCGGTATGTACATGTGGGTATAACTAATATACGTAGAATAATGCTGACTGCGGCTTTAAACATCATTCGCTTATTCTAGAACATACTGAAACTTGAAAATCTGGCCTTGCAGTGTTAGTCCCGTTGGGTTTATGTATGCATTTTGATAAGTCACAAGCTGGTGTTTATACTACTCAAAAGAAGTTAAACAACACCGGGTTTTTTCAAATTACAATAGTTAATCATGCCATGACAGATTAACTATAATAATATAATTAATCGGGTTTTCTTTAACTTCTTTAATAATATCATAGTCAATTTGTCATGGCTAATTAACTATTGTAATATGAAAGAAGGGGTGTTGTTTAACTTCTTTCGAGTGGTATATAACTTCACCTGTCTCATGACCAGTAAGCATCAAATTTTGATATCATCTAAAGTTATATTTTTCGATAGATTAGTTTTGGTAAATGGGCCGTTCATGACTATCATGATTATGAACGTCATAAAAAACAAAAACACAAGAGAGTGGCTTCACAGTATTTAATCAAGTCGAATCTTTCAAAATATTATACATAAAATAGAGCTGTAGCAGTCCTGGCGTAGTCTGGTGAAATATATAACAAACCAAGCCTTTTTGTGAACGATCTAAGAACAGGGATCGACAGTCTTGAAGAGATTAAGTATGTTAACGAAGACGAACATAGAAACACCTCCAATGGCGGAGCCGACTTGTGTTGCTACGCCACAGTGAAGCAGACCTTTCTTGCCTTCCGCCCTGAAGAGCGACGCCAGTGACACCTTCGCGTAGGTGAGGATGAATACACAGACCACCCACACTGACACCTGGAACAGAACGAGTGAGTGAGTAAATTAGGTTCAACGCCGCTTTGAACACTTATTCAACTATATCACGCCGTGTCAGCTTAATGTCGGAGGATGCAGGGGCCCGTTTTACAAAGCAGCCTTTGCGCTGAGGCGATCATAACTCCATACTTTACCATAGACTTACGACGGTCGTAGAGCTGAGTTCGGTATGTGGAACAGGGCCCAGGGTTCCGTTGTACAAAACAACCTCAGCGCTACTACGGTCGTAAGTCTATGTCAAGATATGGGAGCTACGATCACCTTAGTGCTAAGATCACTTTGTACAACGGCACCCTTGTACCGATATGATGTTATCAAAATTCAGGACTAAACAGAGATTTGAACAAACGTTTCTGGGACATTCAAGACTACCCTGCATATGGAACTGGCGCCCTAGATGACTGGGCCACCCCTTACCCCTGAAACACGTTGACCATGACATACATCTGTTTCAATAGTGTTTAACAGTGTGTAGCTTTAGCGTTCATTCCTTAGTCTAGAAACATATGTTGGGATTACTGTCGTGTGAATGTCAGACATAACCTCCATAGTAAATGAGGCTAATTGTTAACCATTGCATAAGTTAGAGTGATCATTAAATTTGCCTGATCATAAACGAGAAATGTATTTTGAATAATATGAATGAAAATCGTTTTGGCTGCAAATTGGCTCGGGCCTTGTGTCCAATTAGAGTCCCATTAGTGCCCCGTGTATTCCCAAATTAAAGGTAGGAATATTTCGACTTTAACTAACGATTTACGAAAGGGGACATCGGTGAAAGCTTCATGCTATATATGGACTTGCTCCTGACGCGTGTTGCGATAGGTCTTCAGCAAACCCAGGCCCTTAAAGGCGACTATTCTTGCCGTAAGAGGCGACTAACGGGAACGGGTGGTCACGCTCGCTGACTTGGTTGATGCATGTCATCGATCTAAATAGCGTGGATCGATGCTCATGATGTCAATCACTGGATTGTCTGGTTCAGACTCGATTATTTACAGACCGCCGTCATATCGCCGGAATATTGCTTAGTGCGGCGTTAAACAACAAACAAACATGAATTGGACGTGATTCAGATGTAAGAGAGGTACGTTATGAAACAATAAAACAGAAATATATACCACAGGTAAGCTTGAAGAAACTACTTTACTGTGTCATAGCTTACGCCTTGGTGGACATAAAAACCTAATATCTTACAATCAAGATGGATCCAGCCAGTGTTCCCACAAGAACTGGCACAGGGCTCATCACCGCCGCCGCCATGATGTAAACCCCGAGTAGGGAGCCCAGCAGGGTCAGGGAGGACAGCGCAGGAACGGAAGTGACGTGGATGAAAAGGTCAAAGAAACACGCCAGTGGATTGGCTAGATTTGCTAGCGTTACAGCCAGATGGTACTGGGTGACACCGTAAGGTAGACAAGAGTAGGACTGAACGGCCAACAGCGCCGAGTTCCTCAAACAGTTCACCCATCCTGAAAGTAAAGACATCTTTATTTATTTGCATTAGTGTTCGAAATAAGTGCTGGCCCGTAGGCCCGTGACAGGTAGAATTCTTATCGGGTCCGGAGTTTCACATTTGTATCGGTTTTATGGCCTGCAGTAAATTTAGGTCTTGATTTATCTGTCACAATAAGCTGCAGTGTTTTTTTTAAAAACGAGGGCCTGAAGAGTTTAGTCAGGGCCTGAAGAGTTTGTCCAGGGCCTGCAGCTCCTGAAGTTTGTGGGTCCTGATTGCAGCCTGGCATTATATTTTTATTTCGAACACTGATTTGCATAGACATCTGCCTTGTTAAATCACTGACTGTCTATGTGAGAGAGGACACAGCACGATTTAAGGATGTGCTGGGATCGAATTAGTTTCCTCCTCAAATAGTTCAACCAACATGAATCATGAAAAGTTGCATTTTTCTCATGTAAAACAGAGGTGTGCGCACCATTTTTCAAGCATACGATACATGATTACAACGTCAGTTGGAGGACTTGCTTTAAAAAATATTGCAATCATCTTTTCCGAATTATGTAAATACCTAAAGCACGATGTATGCTAAGAGCACCGCCCTTTCGAAAGCTTGCATTCGCGCTTGTAGTCCCATGAATCGCTTGAGCCCTATTCCTCACGTGTAGCCCCATGCCTCGCTCGTAGCACTATGACCCACCTGTAGCCCTATTCCTCGCTTGTAGCACTATGCCTCGCCTGTAGCCCTATTCCTCGCTTGTAACACTATTCCTCGCCTGTAGCCCTATTCCTCGCTTGTAGAACTATGCCTCGCCTGTAGCCCTATTCCTCGCTTGTAGCACTATTCCTAGCTTGTAGCCCTATTCCTAGCTTGTAGCCCTATTCCTCGCTTGTAGCACTATTCCTCGCCTGTAGCCCTGTTCCTCGCTTGTAGAACTATGCCTCGCCTGTAGTCCTATTCCTCGCTTGTAGCACTATTCCTAGCTTGTAGCCCTATTCCTCGCTTGTAGCCCTATTCCTCGCTTGTAGCCCTATTCCTCGCCTGTAGCCCTATTCCTCGCCTGTAGCCCTATTCCTCGCCTGTAGCACTATTCCTCGCTTGTAGCACTATTCCTAGCTTGTAGGCCTGTTCCTAGCTTGTAGCCCTATTCCTCGCCTGTAGCCCTATTCCTCGCCTGTAGCCCTATTCCTCGCTTGTAGCCCTATTCCTCGCTTGTAGCACTATTCCTAGCTTGTAGGGGGCGGTCGGGTAGCCTAGTGGTTAAAGCGTTCGCTCGTCACGCCGAAGACCCGGGTTCGATTCCCGACATGGGTACAATGTGTGAAGCCCATTTCTGGTGTCCCCCGCCGTGATATTGCTGGAATATTGCTAAAAGCGGCGTAAAACCATACTCACTCACTCACTCACTAGCTTGTAGCCCTATTCATCGCTTGTAGCACTATTCCTAGCTTGTAGCCCTATTCCTAGCTTGTAGCCCTATTCCTCGCCTGTAGCCCTATTCCTCGCCTGTAGCCCTATTCCTCGCCTGTAGCCCTATTCCTCGCTTGTAGCCCTATTCCTCGCTTGTAGCACTATTCCTAGCTTGTAGCCCTATTCCTCGCTTGTATCCCTATTCCTCGCTTGTAGCACTATTCCTCGCCTGTAGCCCTATTCCTCGCTTGTAGAACTATGCCTCGCCTGTAGCCCTATTCCTCGCTTGTAGCACTATTCCTAGCTTGTAGCCCTATTCCTCGCTTGTAGCCCTGTTCCTCGCTTGTAGCCCTATTCCTCGCCTGTAGCCCTATTCCTCGCCTGTAGCCCTATTCCTCGCTTGTAGCCCTATTCCTTGCTTGTAGCACTATTCCTAGCTTGTAGCCCTATTCCTAGCTTGTATCCCGATTCTTCGCTTGTAGCCCTGTTCCTCGCTTGTAGCCCTATTCCTCGCCTGTAGCCCTATTCCTCGCCTGTAGTCCTATTCCTCGCTTGTAGCACTATTCCTCGCCTGTAGCCCTATTCCTCGCCTGTAGCCCTATTCCTCGCCTGTAGCCCCATGCCTCGTTTGTAGCCTTATGCCTCGCTTGTTGGCCTATGTCTCGCCTGTAACCCTATGACTCGCTTTTAGCCCCATGCCTCGCCTGTAGCCCTGTCTAGCTTGTAGCCCTCTGCCTGGCCCGTAGAACTATGTCTCGCCTGTAGTCATAATGCCTCGCCTGTAGCCCCATGCCTCGCTTTTAGCCCTATGTCTCGCCTGTAGTCATAATGCCTCGCTTGTAGCCCTAATGCCTCGCTTGTAGCCCCATGCCTTGTCGCACACAGCTATGTTCCAGCTATATGACGGCGGTCTGTCAATAATCGAGTCTGGACCAGACAGTCCAGTGATTGACATCACTAGCATCGATCCATGCATCAACCAAGCCCGACAACAGGATGCCGTAAGCGGCCTTTTACGACAAGCATGGGTTGCTGGAGACCGATTCTAACCCGGATCTTCACGGGTATCGAGCGAAAGTAATTACGTTTCAAACACCCATTATTTTAAGAATGACATACCTTTAATGATAAAGAGATTTTTATCCTCGCGTGTTTCTATATCGTAAATATCATCGATTAGGAATAAAATGTATGTATTATACGAGTCAATTTACATTCCTTCAATATTATATTTACGATAAGAAACACACAGCTAATAATCTCTATATATGCACATACCTGTTAATAGAAGTGAAATGATGTACTCTGTTCCAGTCGTTGCCTTTACGTCACAAGTTTTGTCCTTCATATTTGTGCTACCTTCTTCACTGAAAACTGCCGTCTTAATACCGTCAGTATCGTTCTTGACGTCAATTCCAACCGGTTCGTCAAGGTGTTTTCTTTCATAACTGATCAGTTCTATTTGGCGGTTTTTCTCATCCGCTTGAAGCTCCATAGATGCTTGAGAATCACGTTTCTGCGAAGTCTTCTTTGTCTGTTTGTGTGTTTGTTGGACATGCTCCTCTTTACACAGTGGATGGAACGCGAGGAAGGTGAAGGCCACCCCGGACATGACAATGATGCCGGTGATGATGGCAAAATAAACCTCGAATGAGAAATTGTTATCTTCGTATATCGCTGTCATGGTTGTCACGGCTTCTAGTGACGCCGTCGTGTTGATGGTTGCATTGACGTATTCTGTAACATTGAGGCAGACAATACGGCCTGCCCCTTGGGCGAGTCCTAATAACCCTGCAAGGAGGCCACCAAGACCTTCTCCGCTGAAGTAGGCACTCATATACACAGGTTTAAACGTAGCCATGAAGGGGAAGAAGACGACAGTGGATGTACAGTCCACTAGCGCCAGGATAAAATTCAAAATAAACATAGCGGTGCTGTGGGGAGCTCCAGCAACGATGGTTGTCGTCTGCCAGAAGAACACCAACAAGAGACACGTTAAGGCCCCGATGCCAATGATGAAGTAAATGACCAATTTCTCCGACACACGGTTCGAACACAGTAAACTGTAAATAACTGGTCCAATGTTTGCAAGCTGGGTCAGAACGACAATGTACGAGGGTAGATTCCACCCTTCTGGAAGCTCCTGGACCATGATGGGTAGCTCCACCCACAAACCATTGATGTCCACCCAGGACGACACCCCAAACATTATCATCAAAATGTAGACGAGCACAGCCGCGCCTTGTCTGGTCGCCATCCTGGATTTGCCCTGGCTGTTGGATCGATTTAACCTGGCTGTTGGATCTAAACATTATATAAACATGATTCAAATGAACACTGCGTGTTATTCCTGGATATATATGGTAACATCTGTTTTGTTTGATTATTCGGATCTACGTAAGCATAATGTTTTTCCACGATGGAATCATTGATACAAATCTTCACGCCAGGATTAACCCAAACAGCACCGACCAGAAACGAGCGAGTTAAACGAGATAGTACAGATGATAAAACATCATTTATACACCACGCGGTGATGCATAGGCTAAAACTATGGAATACTGCAAGGGACATTCTCGCGATCTCGCATTCTCGCGATCTCGACCTTTGGAAACGAGCTGTTTATGCAACAAACACGAGAATGCGAGATCGCGAGAATGTCCCTTACAGTATTCCATATAAAACACATTGTGTTTACTCCAGACTGTGGATCTTTACCATCCCAACACACACACACACATGCGATAGCCTCTTTATCATATGATGTCATTCTTAAATACTACCATCGAAATACACAAACGGCACCTACACATTTTAAGTTTTCCTACAATGTGCGCAAAGCTCGCTGAGTATAATGTATATTCCTAATACAGGATATTTATCATCACAAAACACGCGTGATAACCTCCATGATATATAATGAAATACTCTATTGAACACAACTCACACACACACACACACACACGCACACGCACACTGCAATAACTCTTTATAGTACATTATACGAACTATTGAGTGAGTGAGTGAGATAAGCCGCTTTGAACTGGGGTTTCAGTTTTTCACGGTGTGTCAGCTTAGTGTGGGAGGATGCCCGAATTAGTCTTCACCAACGTCCTGAATCAAAGAACACACCCTGTTCCAAATACACAATCCATACTGGAACTACATTAACTAGTTTCACTAGTTCACCTGACTATCACATTGCACAGCATAACCTGGCGGTAGTCGTGTCCGTTAAACAAACACTGCTTGATCAAATTGTACAAACAAACATTCTAATCGGTCGTCATGGTGTACGAGCGAGTTAATATCTAACGTCAAATTCGGCAGAAGTTGAGCCATATAGCAACTCACACTGTATCAGCCAATATCCGGGTTAGAATTCGTCTTCAGCAACCCATGCTTGTCCTAAGAGGCAACTAATCGGATCGGGTACTCAGGCTCGCTCATTTGGTTGATGCATGTCATCATCCCAATTGCGAAGATCGCATCTTCCCGAGACAAGGGAGTCAACTGACTGTAAAAGTCCAGTTTCGATGCTCATGATATCAATCACTGGATTATCTGGTCCAGTCTCGAGTATTTACAGACCGTCGTCATATGGCTGGAATATTGCTGTATGCGGCGTTAAAAATCATACAAACAAACTGTATCAGCTATATGCGAAGGGATCGGTCGATACGCAGGCGGTTTTCAGGGGAATCGTGTACATTCACTAAATTCGGTATTAGAGCTGTGTCCCTGGGCACGCTAGAAACCTATAACCGTGGGTTCGAATCCCGGTTCGCTCCGATCGTGTTTCTAGGTTTGTCAGCACCATATCCTTCCTCGTGGGTTTCAGCAAAGTGGTAAACGTCTAAGACCTGCATCATGGGGGTTTTCCTCCACGCTGACACGTCGTGATATGACTGGAATACTGTTCAAAGCGGTGTTAAACCCACCCCACTCACTCAATGTATTACGTAGATACATAAAATGAATTAAGCCAAGGCCTATTTTATACTGACATCACATCACAGCATTCAGAATCTTACTAACCCTTTATCCCAGGAGTAGGCAGTGTTGGATAACGAGTTGATGAAGCTGACTAGCCGGCTCCAGGCTACAGGATGAACCAGGATACATCTACGAACAAATACACATGCATGCCGTAAATCGAAGATATTTACGATACAGAAACTCGCGAGGATAATAATCTCTTTATCATAAAAAGTATGTACCTGTTAAAATAATGGGTGTTTGAAACGTAATTACTTTCACTCGATACCCGTGAATATCCGGGTTAGAATCGGTCTTCAGCAACCCATGCTTGCCGTAAAAGACGACTATGCTTGTCATAAGATTCGACTAACGGGATGGGGTGGTCAGGCTCGCTGACTTGGTTAATGCATGTCATCGTATCTCAATTGCGTGGATCGATACTCATGATGTCAATCATTGGATTGTCCGGTCCAGACTCGATTATTTACAGACCGCCGCCATATAGCTGGAATAGTTCTGAGTGCGGCGGTAAACAACAAACAAACAAACAAACAAACAAGCAAAACTTCAAATCACTCCTATGATTTAATACCCTTTGTTCAGACTCTATGCCGTTAGGAAACCGCCCTGTAGACACATCTAAAATACTTTTCGGTTGATACAAAAATCTCAAATATAACCCGTTTCGTTTATTGATAGCTCTAACTCCTTTAATGGTCGTTTGTTGTGTTACTGTGTCGTTTAAGGAACCCGTTTCCTAAACCGGTGTCAGCGCTACGACTAACGCCAACGAGTAACAATATACTCACCGACAAAAGAAATGCGAATACAATACATGTTGGTTAATATATGAAGAATTACTCATATTCAAGAGATATTAAGATAGACACAATTTTATGGATAACAACTTCTTTAATACTGTAAAAAGCGACGTTTCGGTATAGATCCTTATACCGTTGTCAATGCTTGACAAGCGACGTTTCGGTATAGATCCTTATACCGTTGTCAAGCATTGACAACGGTATAAGGATCTATACCGAAACGTCGCTTTTTACAGTATTAAAGAAGTTGTTATCCATAAAATTGTGTCTATCTTGTCATCCGCCAACTTCTAAGTAATGCCTATCAAACAAGTCAAGAGATATTAGACTGGTTCGAACATACTGGTATGTTATGTAAATCGACGCTCATGAATGCATCACATGTGACGTCATAGACCCATGACGCGAGATGCACAATTTGTCTCGTGCAGGATTAGGGTTTGGAAATCACGTGCAGCACATTGTGGTAAGAGGATACACTCTGCGGTAACACTTGACTGATTGTATGTTTTGTCTTTAAGTGGTATACACAGGAAACATCTGTTCTTAACGTACACACCTCTCTTTATGGTTTTGTAGTTAGCGTTTCTTTTGGTGGTGAGTATATTTTAGGACGGTCGTGACACTAAGATAGCTTTGTGACACCGGGCTCAGATGTTTGACCTTGCCTGGCCGCGACTGCTGCTGGGTCGCCCATCCTCTTTTTGCGAGTTATGACGGTAGGCAGTTTATGAGAATATATGAATAAAATCTGCGTATAGTACTCCAGCACCACTGCACCTGTTGCCAATAAAAATAGTTTGTATGAACGTTGTGTACGAGTACTCATGCATACACTGTAGTTGTTTGTTTGTTTGTTGTTTAACGCCGCACTCAGCAATATTCCAGCTATATAACGCGGTCTGTGAATAATCGAGTCTGGACCAGACAATCCAGTGATTAATATCATGAGCATCGATCCACGCAATTGGGATCGATGACATGCATCAACCAAGTCAGCGAGCCTGACCACCCGATCCCGTTAGTCGCTTCTCACGACAAGCATAGTCACCTTTTACGGCAAGCGTGGGTTGCTGATCTACCCCGGATCTTCACGGGCTGCATACACTGTAAATATATGTTTAGATCCTACACACAAACCTTAACAAGTTCCTTAGGTCTAAACATGTTTAGGATTGCGTTTAACAGTTAAACGTGTTAAGGGTTTAAATGTGGGAAAGACCCGTATAACCCCTTAAAACGTAATACATTATACCTCTATTGCGGGTAAGTTAAGAAAGGGTCGCTTTCTATGTGTTTTTTAGTGTTTAATGGGGATTAATTTTTATAGCAACAGTGAAGGATGACAATGGAAGGTATTACTGGTTTGAAAACCCTTTTCTCATTCTGTCTTATTTTTATACAATTTAAAAACTTACGCGAAAAATGTAATAACTCGAATATAAATACGAATATGTTTGTGACTCCATGTTTGCTTGCGTGTCTGTGTGTGCTTGGGTGAGAGTGTTTGTTCTGAATTTTAAAAAATGTTTAGCATATAATATCGTCAATGGGAACATTTGCAGAATTTAAAATATCTTTAGTTTTTCAGATCTCCGATAATTGCCTTGTCGCTTTGATACTTCCCCTAGACGCCAAGCATCCCATGTCAATCTGGATTCTGTTGTGACAAAGCACATGTGTATGTTATTGTGTCTAACCATAACATAGGTTAGGTTCTCACAGGAATGCATTGTTGCTACATCCACGAGTGTTAT